CCTAAGGGCCATCCCAATTTGGTTCACTGCAGAGGAATTACACTCAAAAAACAAAAACTTCAGTCTTACAAGGTCAGAGGTCAGAATTCAAAAGTCAGAATTCAGAGTTGTGAGAGCAGCTCTCACAGGGGGAAATCCTGGAAAGGAGGGAGCCAGAGAAGGAGGAAACCCAAAATTTACACTCAACGGTCCCTCAAATCCTTGCCTGAATTGTAAAATGCAGAGAGAAAAGCAAGAAACCGAGCAGAAAGCCACAGCTGAAAGGCTAAAAGAGAAGCAAGGAGATTTTAGCAAGCTTCTGATGTTCAGGATACAGTCTGGAGTTTGAGTCCCATTATATCATAGGTTTTAAGCAATATCTTGAACTTTGTTTATAGTTCAAACCTTACACAAAACAACCACAAACTAAACTAAGAACTATATCTTAGAACTATGAAAAGAACCAAAAGGGAACCAAAATAAAAACAACCTAACATGTCTTCCATTGGTTTTGGGTGATCCTTCAGTAATTTCACTGTCTGCTAAAATGAAATGCATTATTCTTCAAAATCCAGAGTCTCTATAATGTGTTAAACACAATGTCCAGTACACAAGAACATTAGTAGATAAATACACAGAAGGTGATCCATAATCAAAGGAAAAGAGAGAAATATTAGCAAGCCCACAGGAGACTTAAGATGGAATTAGCAAACTTTGAGATTTGTGAATGTTAACCACTCTATATAAATAGATAAAAAATAAATTTCTTCTGTATAGCACAGGGAACTATATTCAATATCTTGTAATAAACTTTAATGAAAAAGAATCTGAAAACAAACATACGTGTGTGTGTATATATATATATATATATGCTATATATATGTATATATATACATATATATATATGTGCATAACTGGGACATTATGCTGTTTACCAGAAATTGACGCATTGTAAATGACTATACTTCAATTAAATAAATAAATGAAATAAGTAAATACAATAGATATATTAAAGAATTTATAGGCTTATATATGAATATAAATATATATTATTATATTATAAATAGATACTACGTATGCAGACATAAATATTTATATCCACATATAGGTGTATGTATAATCCTGTAAATTATTTAATATATCTACATATACCTACACATATTTATATACACATGCACACATATAATAAAGCAAGGGGAATTTCAGGTAAGACACAGAAACTTCTAAGAAAACTACATGAGAAAGCTTAAAATGAAAACCACTATATATTTAATAAGACAATTCATAGTATGGTTTTTGCAGAAAATTGGACACTGTAGAGGAAAAGTATCAGTCAACTGGAAGACAGGTGAATAAAAATAATCAAAACTGAGGAAAAGAGAAAAATATATTAAAAAAAAAAAAACCAGACTCAATAACCTGTGGAAAAATGTCAAGAGGTCTTTATACTGTAACTGCCATCCAAGAAGGAGATGGGTAACACAACAGCGCAAAGAATTGGAAGAAATATTAGCTCCAAATCTCCACATTATAGAAAACAGTTTAAATCCTGAGAAACTATAATTATGAAATCATATCTCTTTTATCGTATACCTTTCAACAGCATCATTTTAGTTTTGTCTCATGATTTGTTTCCATTCACTTTTCTTTGAAGATTTGTGGTCATGGGGCTGAATTGAAGTATTGTAGATACAATGTTTTCTATTTTAAAAAGTGAAAGGGGTGGTAATATTATACTTCACTAAGAATTAATATTTGTTTGAGATAAGTCTGGATGATGTGAGAGAAAAAAAATGTAGCATCAAATTAAAGAGAACTCTGACTGGATCTTTATGGTTCAAATTATGACAAGAACTGTTAACAGATATCAAGGAATAAACAAATATGAAAAGGAAGATTTTTACCTTGAGATACTGTAAAACTTTAACTGAATAACAGATAAGAATATAACAATAAAAATGTAAATATTAAAATTTACTTTCCAAAACAATCTCTTTATATTCTGGGTAAGTAATGAATAGTTTCTCATCAATGAATCAAAAATTTAATTATGTGACTATGTGAGATATTTTGCCATCTAAAAAAGCAACCTCCCTTCTCGACTGATGCATTTTAATTATTTGAATTCATAGCTTCAGTCTTGCTGACACATTTTCAAAAATGCTTAATCAATCACTCTTTGAAATGTGCACTGCTCTTCCCATTGCACTACTTCCTTTGGTGATCTCAAAACAACAATGTCTATGAAGGGACTGGGCAAGAGCAGCCTGAAGAAAAAATGTTGTAGGAAATGTTGATATTTCCTCACTAAAATCTTGAATTCACATAGCTTAATTTCTTTCAGACTTTTGAGCAATGAGCATGTAATCATTGCTATAGATTTTTTACACATACAGCCTCCTTATTTTGCCATGTGCAGGAATAGTGGTATAACAGGACATCTATTTCAAATACTTCCTCCAGTGTCTTAATTTGGGAAATCATTCAAAGGTTATAGTAATCAAAGTTGTCTGGACTCCATCTCAAAAAGATTTTTTCAGAGTATTTAACTAACCACAGATACATGAAACAATTATTTTTAGAATGATTTTTAAGTATTTCCTTATATATTAATAAATGATGTTACTTATATCTGTTTAATGAAGCACTGCTTTGAATCATTTGAATCTACAAATTTAAAACAGGAAATCATCAGTGGGAAGAACAGAATCCTAACATTATCATTTACTCATTTTATGTATCAGTGAATGTACAGTTAATTAGTTCATAGCCTCAGAATGCTATTCATGAGCCTCAGAGATTGAATTACCAAAACATCTTATTATATTATGTGGCTGTAGGGAATAAATAAGAAGTTACCACACATTTTTGATGGTTAACTATTCATACATATATGTTGCATCATGTTAATCATCATGATCTTTGACAATTTAAACATACTTATAAATAAATGCAGTATTTACTTCTCCATGGAGAAAAACCCCAAAAAAGGTTCTTGTCATCAATAAAACTCCAAAATCATTAATACACATACTTTGCTAATACCCTAACTTGAACCTGTCATTGACGAGCAACATATACTTAGTCAATGGTAATGTCTTGAACTTTCTGATTATTTCTGAGTGTTACTTCCTAGTCTTTTGTGCATGTGTACATGTTTTTACCTATCTTTAGGCCTATACATTGCTAATAAATTGTGGTAACATTTTAGGTTAAAACACCAAATTTAGTCATATATTTGAACACTGTAAATTAATTTTATTAGAGGTTAATTGGTAGGTAGTGACTAGACTGACACAGTACAACATGGAGCTATTATATTTCCCCTGGGTAAGTTTAATATTATTAATGATTAAGTAACTGAAGAGAATAGAAAATATAAAAGCTGCAAAATTGATTAAACTAAATTAACTGCATGAAAATCCATGATTTATACAGCTACCTAGAAAGTACTCTATTCTCATTGTTCTTCACATGTACTCTTCTTAGCTAGGGAGGAAAAAATAATGCAAATCACAGATTTAAGAGTTTCAGGTATTGAGAGTAATCTAACCCACTCCTTATTGCAGTAACAACAGAAGTAAACAGAGAAGAGGTCAATCCTTTAAGAAAGTAGCTAACATTAGTAGCCCATAAACTTGAATAAACAAACTATTAAATATTAATAGAAAATGAATTATACTAGGAACCTTCATGTAGTAACCCAGCATCCTGTACTGTAATTACAGAATGTATTGAGAAGATTACAGTGGCCAGAGAGAGTAGCCACTCTAATTTACTCCACATGAACTTCACGGTAGTGTAATTACGACAAAGGCTGTTGTACTGGCAACTGCAGATAAGGGTGGGTGGGTGTTTACTCTGTGGGGAAGCTGAAAAACTAGATGCCCTCCATGTGTAAGAGACTGTATCTAATAAAATAAAAAATCAGTCAACAGAGAGATCATTTTTTAAAAAGGAGTGAAGATAATTCTCTAGGCTTTCCTGTGACTAACTATTCCTTAAGACCAACGCTTTGCTCTAATTCTCTATTTGACAAACAGCCTTCTGATGCGTAACTTAGCCCCTATTCAGCAGAAGGGTGTGATCCATTTAGACAAGAGTCATTTGTTATGTGGCCAGGTATACTTTTCATGATTGATGCCATGATGACATGGCATTCAATCTTATAAATTTACATTTCTGAAATTTCGTTAAGGTCAATCAGTTCTCCATTACTCAACAAAAATGTTGCTAAACTTGACATATAACGGCTCCACGAAGTTAAAACTATCCCATGAATACTGGGTCCAAAGCAAAACGTACCCACTTCACCTTTCAATAACAGATTCATCAGGAAAAAGTTGTAGGAACAACAAACGAACGAACAATGCCACTTTTCAGTGTGGAAAACATTTCTGAGTTTCCCTCAAGATTCTCTGCATTGATCTAGTTTGTAGTTTAGACTCTGCATAATTCAGGGTAAAATGCAAACACTGATGATGATGTTAACAACAACAACAGTTTATATTCCTGAGATTAACTCTTAGAAGCATCCTATAATGTAGGTATTATTATTTCCATTTTCTAAATGAGGAGAGTGAAACAGAGAGATGACCTATCTCAAGTCACAGAACTCTTAAGTGAGAGAATTAAAATTTAAAGTCGGATTTGTCTCAGTAATATTCATGGTCATGGGTTTAACCACTATGCTACGTATTCACAAAATTCTTGACTTAAAGAAAGTGGAAAGCATAATTTCAGATATCTACAGCTATATGATCAAATTCTACTGTATTAGCTGTCTGATTCCTATATTTAAGATTTTAAGAGCTAACTGTGCTTCATTTTGCTTATACTATGATGAGTGAATACTACAAGCACACAGTTTAGTGTATCAAGCAATTTTAAAGCTTCAATAATAGCTATTCAAATACTCACAGATGCCTGTCAATACTTGTAGTGGTATCTTCAAATTCTATGTCATATACATCATCCAAGATAATTCAATAAACGTATGATAAATTTTACTGGGAACTTACTTTGCAACCTCCGTGTCGGGCTCTCTCCGTGGAGCTGTCGTCGTGACATGTATGGAGAAGGGTGGGGGAGTGGCAATGAAGAAACATCATGGGTCTGAAGTTTGTACCAATGTGGCTCATCATCTAACAGTGCTGTTTCTAATTCAATTAAAATCTACAAAGGCAAGAGACAAAGGACTGTTTTACAACAATAGTACAGAAGTTCTCTTCAATGGCTTCACTGTAATAATAATAATTATAATAGTCATGCTGTTAGGTCAAAAGCAAGGTTATGCTGCCAAATTGCCCATGTGTTTGATGATAACTAAATAAAAGATAAATATTTATAACTTCTTATTGATTTAATAGCTTT